CTCTGGGATTACGAATTTAATAGGGCTGGGTCACGTGAAAGCAGGTTGGAGACAGAGCTAATATCTGAGTGGAGATTGAGATCTCTTACCTAGTAGATGATAAGGGAAAATAAAGAACGTTTTTTAGGCAGAAGGAGCAATTTGTGAGAAATCTGGTGCTAACAAAGGGATCGGTGTATGTTGTTCCTGCCCTGTAGCAGGGTCTGACATACACAAGGTGCTCTCGAGATGTTGGACAAAAATTATTTTTCCATGATTAAATTTTTGCTTAATTCAACTTTTAATGTTTTACAGCTATGCTTAGTCACATATTCGATATATAACCGATATATAACATACTTTATAATATTATCATAAGTTATTTGTAAAAGCTGAAAAGCTTATGTACTTTAATTATACTTTTAAAATTTTGATTCAAAAGTAAATTTATTGATAGTTTTTCATATATTGGTTATTTTTAAAATAACCTTCTTATCTCTGGGTGGGGAACCTGTGGCCTTAAGGTGAAATGCGGCCTTCTAGGTCTTTAAGTGCTGTCTTGTGACTGAATCCAAATTTTGCAGAACAAATCCTTTTATTAAAAGGGGTGCAGCAGAGGAAGATGCAGCTTTTCTTGCCTCCTTTGGTGCTTAAAAAAGAAGAATCTTGAAATCAAAAGGCCACAGGTTCCTCACCGTAGTAGACCTTTCATTGTAATGATGAGGTAACCAAGGTCTGGTATGGTCAAGTGACTGTCCACATTCAAACAGCTAGTCAAAAACCAAAGCTTTCCTGTAGTCGGAGTCCACAGGCTCCTATTCCAAAATTCTGTGCTTTCTACAAAGAGCAGCGATACTCTCTCTGCCCTAGAACACTACCTCTATTAAAGGCATAGATCCCCCCCCCATTGATTTTAATTACCCAAAGACTTTGAAGAATGCATTTCAAACAGTTTTGTTACTTGGGGTACAAATTGGGGAAAACGGAAAAGTAAAAGAATCTAAGTGTTATTTTTAGTACATATACCTTAAACAGCGGCACAGAAATACTGCATTCTTTTCTATTTAAAGTTGGAAGATTATGGTAATTGTGTGACTTTTTTCAGTCACACAGTGAGCGCTAACTGATTTATTTTAAAGGGGTGTATGGAGTTAATGATCCCTATTTCAGGTTTCAGGTGAGTAGGGGGGCTCTTGCTCCTGCCACACTACATAGGTCTGAATTTGTTGACCATCCAGCGCCATCTAGTGTCTCAGAAGGATAATAACTTATTGATAAACCTAAACAACTTTTTCTTCTTAAAAATTATTCCTAAAATTTAACTGGTTGTGAGCTGAAGTTTTAACATTAAAATGAAGTTTCACAAATAAGGTGATATTTGAATTGCATATAAAGAGAATGATAAGATTGTTTACTGACTGAAATAAATGTATCTATTTGGTTGATATCAGTGAATCAGATTTTTTCATTTATTAAAAAAATAGTGTTTTTGTAAATTGTATTAGTCTGTTCTCTTGTTCATTTTCCACCAAATCTTTTTAGTTCTCCAAATTTGCTTTTTTATAATTTGAATGTTTTTTTTTATTCCTTCACTGAACCAACCTATTGGTTATGACTACTGCTATCAACTTGTCCTAGTTTAAATGATCTAACCTTAGAATATATCTATTTCATATTATATATATATATCACAAGAATCCTGGCTAGTTCATAAAAATGAGTTTCTTTGAAAAACTGAAAAAGCTGATTCCTCCCCTCGGACTTCCTGGCTTCTGATCGGAGTGATCCCTGCTCTTTGGGCCGTCTCCTCTGTGCGAGGTGGGGGTGAGGGACTCCTGGTCACTTCCCCTCTAGAGCACTCATATGCTGAAAGACCACAGCCGCCGTTTGTCAAGTTGATGCCCTGAAAGTAGTTCATTTCTTCTCTGGAAAGGATAGAGGTGGTTGAGTTTTGAAACTTTGAATCTTTTCCTTGTTGGTAGTTGTAGTTTTTCTCATTAACCTCTAAAACATATTCTAATAAAAGTTTTTATAATTATACACTATTAGAGCAGGACATAATTTTAGAGACTGTTCAACACTGGATCTTATCGATAATTAGATATTATAAATGTGTGCATAAGAGGCTTAATAATTTCTAAAATGATGACTGGTGACTTTTTCATTCATCCTTCTATGAAAATAGTATATTTTGTATTATCTTACTAATCTGAATATACCAGTTAAATCCACTAATATAGAGGAGAGAAAGTATAGCCATGAAAACACATCAGAAATAGTGTCTGTTCTGAGATTGGTACTCATTTTCCCTTTTGCTTGAGTTTTTGGCTATTTTGTTAACACTTACCCTCCGCTCTCACTGGAAATACTTCTGTTGATAAATATGGACAAAAATCATGAGCCAACTAGTAAAACAAGTATAAAGTTTCCACTGTGAAAAATTATTCAGTTTTTAAATAATGATTTATTAACTGCATGAAATTTTTCATATTCTCATTGAAAGGCTTCTAAACCTTTTATTTTCACCAAGCCTAATATATAAAATAGCTTTCCATATAACCTGGGCTACAGTATTTCCTTTTCTGTTTCTTGTGCATCATATAGAGACTCTACATGGAGGCAATAAACGTTTTATACTAAATAAATCATTATTTAGTAATTTAGGAATATATAAAATATACATTTATTGAATTATGAAACTAAATAGAAATTGAAGGTATCATTATATTCAGTCTCAAAGGGCCTACGTATGTTGTATATCTTCAAACAAACAAATGAAGCCAACAACTATGAAAAAAAATCCAAAGCTACTGTTGGAAGCTTGCTTCAGAATATACTTTCTATAATTGTCATGGAGTGTTCTTTTAGAGTTATCTACTCAGTTCAATTTAAGTTCTTCCTGCAATTCTGTCTTTATACTATAAAGGATATTTTCTCAGCCTCCTTCTTATGATTCACTTTCTCAAAGTTTGAGAAAATAATTGTCAATTCTGATTTTTCTGCAGGCTAAATATACCACATTCTTTAATTTTTTTATTGTAGTTATCTCTTCTTCATGTTTTTGAATCATTTTTCTACACTTCTCTCAATCTTATTTGGACAATGAGTGATACTAATCTAATGATAGTCTTCTTCTATGCCATGTGTATACTGTACATAATAGAATTATAGTAACTTTAAAAACAGTGATTGATGAGCTAGGCATGGTGGCTCATGCCTGTAATCCGAGCACTTTGGGAGGCGAAGGTAGGAGAATCACTTAAGACCAGGAGCTCAAGAACAGCTTGGGCGACATAGTGAGACCCCATCTCTAAAAGAAATTTTTTTAAGAAAATTATCCAGGTGTGGTGGCACATACCTGTAGTCCTAGCTACCCAGAAGGCTGTGGCAGGAAGATCACTTGTTCCCAGGAGTTCAAGGTTGCAGTGAGCTATGATCATGCCACTCCAGCCTGGATGATAGAGGGAGACCCTGTCTCTAAAAAAGAAAAACAAGCAAACAAACAAAACAGTAACACTTATTTCTAGCCTTTTTAAAAATAAATAAGATGAAATGATTGCTTATCATCTTGTATGTGTTTTTTTTTTTTTATCTGTAAGTATATACCTTCTATTTAAACATACTAAGCTTAACCCTTTTAAAAAGAATCACTTAAATATATCTTTCATATGTATTGTACTTATTAGCAAATACTACTTAGGCACAGTCATACTATACAGATATACTTGGAGATATAAGTATTTTGAATTTAGCTTCTAATGATTTATAATGGTGATTTGTTTAAAGAAGCCAAGGTTCAGCCACCTTGGGCATGGTGGCTCATGCCTGTAATCCCAGCACTTTGGGAGGCAAAGGTGGGAGGATCACTTCCCACCTTTGCCTTTGTTTTCCTTTTCCCTCCCCCCTGTGGGTTAAGCCAAGGGACTCAGGTTCATAGGGCTCATTCTCTTTTGATTGTAAGTAAGATGTTTAAAGAAAGCATTCTCTGATACTGCAAAGCTTAAAAACCACTTATCTGATAAGCTAATAAATATATATGTCTCATCCTTAAAACTACCTTAGTAATAGCAGGAATTAATAGTAGGTTAAGAGAGTTATCTAATACTTACAGCTTCAAAAGGCCTCCATTCTTTGTTACAACAGTCCAGCTTAAGATAAAAAATAAAGTCTGGGGAGAATTTACCTGAACATTTAATTTCTCAAATTTGGTAGATATCCATGATACAATTATTTCAAAATATTTCCCACAATCTCTAGATGATTTTTTTGAGCTCCAGGTTCTTATTTAGCAGAAAATAATTTTGAAATGTATGTATTAAGATTTCATCAAAATAACTGATATATATTTAAAAGCAGAAATATTTTAAAATAGTTTCAGAACTTTACCATCCCACCCAATCATTTGAAAGGGAAAGATCACCCAAATTTGTCAATATTGTTGCACATAATAGAGCAAATTTTTGTATGTAGAATATTCTGAAGCTCCAATTTTGTGAGCATTCCAGTTTAAGCAATGTGAGTGATTGAGTCTTAAAAAGAGGAATAATGTTCTGAGAAAGAAAGGTTTTTAATGAAAATGAAAAATACAACCAAGTCACCTGACTTGTAGCTACTGGTTCTGTCTTCAGCTAACGAGTGTCAGGTCTGTAGGGAGGTTGGGACCAGCATTTGTTCGTGGTCTGATAGAATCTTGAGCCCAAGGACAGGCCATTATATTTTTCTCTCATTTTATTATTCTCTATGTATCAAAATAGAAGGCTAATTTAAGAGTTTTTCTGTTCCTACACATTCTTTAAAGTCTTGCTTCGATCCTTTATTTTGTTTGATTTTGAAATATGAGAGGGAGTTTCCCCTCAGATATTCCAGCTTGATCATTGCAAAGCACTGTTACTCATTTTATATGTCTTTTCTTTTAATCGGCTCACAGATTTATTGTGACTATTAAGTAAACTCCAGATGTCTTTTGATACTGTGCAAATGTACAGGAAAGTCTATAAAACATATTCTTTTCTTCTTCCTAGAGCCTATGTGTGTTCACACCACCTGGAATCAAGGAAGGAAAGCCCAGGCTCATCCCCGCTGGGCCCATCACCCAAGGCACCACCATCTCCGCGTACGTGGCCAAGTCCAGGAAGACGCTGCTAGTAGAAGACATCCTTGGGGTAAATGGCAGTTTAACTCTTTGTGACATTTTTTTTTTTTTTTTTTTTTTTGAGACAGAGTCTCACTTTTTTTTTTTTTTGAGACAGAGTCTCGCTTGTTGCCCAGGCTACACTGCTCAGGGCTCGCTGCGTGGTTTTCTAAACTCCTGGGCTCGAGTGATCCTTCTGCCTCAGCCTCCCAGGTAGCTGGGACTACAGGCATGCGCCACCATGTCCGGCTAATTTTTTTTATATATATCAGTTGGCCAATTAATTTCTTTCTATTTATAGTAGAGACAGGGTCTCGCTCTTGCTCAGGCTGGTTTTGAACTCCTGACCTTGAGCAATCCGCCCGCCTCGGCCTCCCAAGAGCTAGGATTACAGGCGTGAGCCACAGCGCCCGGCCTCTTTGTGACATTTTTAACCTAAAGTATTTAATTAAGAATGATGGCGAGGCCAGGCGCGGTGGCTCACACCTGTAATCCTAGCACTCTGGGAGGCTGAGGCGGGCAGATGGCTCAAGGTCAGGAGTTCGAAACCAGCCTGAGCAAGAGCGAGACCCCGTCTCTACTAAAAATACAAAGAAATTAATTGACCAACTAAAAATATATATAGAAAAAATTAGCCAGGCAGGGTGGTGGTACATGCCTGTAGTGCCAGCTACTTGGGAGGCTGAGGCAGAAGGATTGCTTGAGCCCAGTAGTTTGAGGTTGCTGTGAGCCAGGCTGATGCCACAGCACTCTAGGCCAGGCAACAGAGTGAGACTCTGACTCAAAAAATAAAAGAATGGTGGCATATCATTTTGATGTTACCATTTAAACAGTTTTAGAAAAAATAAAAGCATTAAAGTAAAATACAAATCAATAATTAGCAAATTAATTCTTTGTAACTCAGAAAATTATATTTACCCACTGAGAGCTAGTTTCAAACAATTCTTATTTTAACACACACCAGAATGGTTAAACATAAAAATGCTATGTATATTTATATTCATGTATCCTAAATGATTACTGTTTTGTGTTCTGTTAGGATGCCTATGAATGGGTTAGCTATTGCTGTATGATGACCTACCTCAAATTTTAGTGGTATCATGCAGAAGCCACGTGTTGTGTCTCATGAGTGGAAGGACTGGGCTATTCTGCTGATCCAGACTGCAGGCAGCTGGGCTCACCATGTGCCCGAGGCCAACTGGCCACAGTTAGGTACTGACTGCTTCCTTGCCGCCTCAGCTCCTTCTGCGTCTCTCGCTCCTCTCCACAAGGCTAGCCTGGCACGTTCTTGTGATCGTAGCAGGAGTCCTAGAGAAGTTGGGAGCGTGCAAGGGAGTTTTCAAGCCTCTGCCTACATCAAGTTTACTACACCTCCTAGTAGCCAGAGGGCAGGCTCAGACTCAGTAGGAAAGGGGACTAACAAAGGACATGGATATAGAAAGTCAGGACAGAGTGGAGCCCTTAGTCCAGTCTTCCACAGTACATGTGCACATTTTAATAAAATGTCACTACATGGAGTATAGACTTTAAGAGTTACAAGTACAAACAAGTGTATAGGTTTAAAATATTTGCTCTGAAAAAGTACTAAATTGGAGTCATGAAAATTGGGTTTTAATTTTAGTTTTGTCACTAATTATCGGCATGACTTTGAACAAATTGGGTAACTAGTGAAAGGGGTGGGGAGAAACAGAGAGGGAGAGAAAAGGGAAGACAGAAGATATAAGTACATTCCATATAAATTCTCATTTCAAAATGTTCTATTGTGTATGCAATCTTTCAAAAGATTTGTAAATTACAAATATAGATTTATATTATTCTTGATTCATGAAAAGTTCTAATTCATACCTGATAGCTTCCCACAGATAGTAGAAATTGAATAAATAGAATTTATGCTTTTTATATTAATTCATTCTATTTTCCTATACTTCCTGTGAATGATTTTGCTAAGCTCTGAAGTACTAAAGTCAACCATTTCATTTCTTATGATAAATCATTGATAATTATTAGTTGATTTTAATACTTAATATGAGCCTTTGAGATTCAATTAGAATAACTGTTATTAAGATACTTTTGTGTTATTCTAACTTTAAAAATAGAAGAAAAAAATGTATATTATATAATTTTCTTCATATGGTATTTGGAATTGGAGTAATTTTCAGTCTGATATTATATTTGGAAAACCCTTAAGACAGTTCTGGCACATTAGAAGGTGATGAGTACATGTCAGCATTTATGATTACTTTTATTATTATTGTATGAAATTAGCACATATCATTCATTCATTGAATTTATAATGTACAAGGATAAAAAGAAATTAAAGCAGTATTGGGTATAGGTTCCATGTTACTAAAAGTATGGGTTTTCTTAAACAAGATTTATGGTGGGTATCATCATTTGGTTTTCCTTTCAGAAGGACTCATTATTGATTACAAGGGCTGTGGCAATTTCTGATAGAAATAAGAATCATAACTTAATGATTATTTCACTGAATTTCTGTCTTTTTCCCTTTTACTTTTTAGGATGAACGATTTCCAAGAGGTATTGGAGTAGAGTTAGGGACTCGTATCCAATCTGTCCTTTGCTTACCAATTGTCACTGCAATTGGCGATTTGATTGGCATTCTCGAGCTGTATCGGTACTGGGGTAAAGAGGCCTTCTGTCTCAGTCATCAGGAGGTGAGGTCTTACACACTGCTTGTTAGCAGTTTTAGTTGTACATAGCTTATTGAAGACACTTATTAATAATGTTAACTGAATGCATGAATGAATATTTAAAATCATAATTTGCTTGACAGTGTTGTGATATAAATACTAATTATTTTAAAACATGTTTTTTGTCTGTTTTTGTTTAGAAGGGAAATGGATGACATTAGAAATGTAGTCTTGTTTTTTTTTTAAGTAAGTCATTTTAACAATAAAAAGTATGCCATACTCTGAATCAGATAAAGTGGTAGGATGACTTTGGAGAATTTTCATATTCTAGTTGTCTTTATGTCTTCCTAAAAATGTTCTCTTCCTAGATCATGTCCCACAAAAAGGTTCTAGCCTCAAATATATTTAGAAAACAATGATTTCTGTTCACTACTGACTGAAGTGGAGTTGGCTCATTAATAATAATAAAACCAAATACTAAGGTGATATATGTGTCACACCCAGGATGAACCAAGTCTCTGCAGTGCCCTAACCTGTGTCCCCTTGCCTGACTGACCCTATCTCCTGCCACTCCAGCTGTCACTCGCTCTCTGTAGCCACGCTGGACCCACAGGCAAGGATGTCAGGCTGCTGCTCAGGCCTTAGCCTTGTTCTCCCCACTGCAGGGATGCGCTCGCCCCGCCCCTCACAGCTCCCCCTTCAAGGATTTCCTCAGTCATCCCTTCTCTGGGAGGCCTTCCCTGAACGCCTTATATACATGTGAAGTGCTCCTGTCTGATATTTCCTTTTTCTCTTTCAGTTTCTTTTGCTCTGTGACACCCGTCACCATCTGATAGACTGTGCACCACACAACACCTATTTCCTTTCTTGCCTTTCTCCCCACTCTTCACTGAGAGCCATTCCACCTTTGTTGCCTCCTGCAGGGTCTACAGCATCCAAAACTGATAGGCAACCCAGTATGTAGCTGTTAAAAAAGTGAATGAAACAAGAAGTAGGATAGCTAGTAATAGAAACCAGGCAGCTAGTATATATACAAGATTTTTACTTTATAGAAATATTTTTTTTATTTTAAAGTGGTCATTAAAGGCCTTTTTAATAGTATTTTTATTAAACTGAAAAATCACTTCATGTTAAAATCAGTGGATCATTGGGCTACAACTCTCTTAACTATCAGTTTATCTTCCTTTTTATCCAAAATTAAGATGAACAAGAAAGAATTAAGCTCAATTAAATAGAAAGAGAAAATGTAAAAGAGGAATGCTGTAAATATTTGTTGATTTGTGTTTGGCAAAGTATTCAAAAGTTCAATGACCTCAGAAAAGTTTTCATATACATTTGTGCTAGAATCCCCAGTTGGGATGCCTGCATGTGACTAATAAAAACTTGTTTTATTTATGTGTGTGTGTGTATGTGTTTTAGGTTGCAACAGCAAATCTTGCCTGGGCTTCAGTAGCAATACATCAGGTACAGGTGAGTTTTGGGATGTTTTTACAGAGGCTTCCTGAGACAAGAGAGTTATTTAGAGTACAGCATTGGGGACTAGAGTTAGAGGTTCATATATAACCTAATGCTTTATTTTTGGATATTGTAATATTTTGTTATTTCTAAAAAATTTTATTCGTCACATATTTATTCCCTGCTTTAAATATCTTACTATTATATATATATACACACATGTAAAATATATATGTGTGTATGCAATAAATGGCATATATCCCGCTATGGTATTTGTTTTCTACTGAAGATTAGGTATAATCTCCTACTGGGCATTGCATTGATAAGTAATGATTTCATTTCCTAAATTAAATTTTCCTATAAATGCCATATGAAATGTTAATCCTAACTCTAAGATAGCTGGTTCTTGAAGACATGACCTAATTCAAAAATCACAACTGACTTAGAGTTTTCCAGGAATATGGTTAACAGTATAGTACTACTTTTTTCTTCTCCTTCTCCTTCTCTTTCCTTCCTCTTCATTTTCCTTCCCTCTTCCTTTTCTACCTCTTCCTTCTCCCTCCTTTTTCTTCCTTCTTATCCCTCCCTCCCCTTCCTTCTCCCTCTTCTTCCATGGTTTTTTTTTTTTTTTTTTTTTGGTCATTGTTTTATTTTTTTAATTCCATTTCAGCAAACTGAGGTTGGTTAGGAACTATATGATAGGAAGAAAAATGGAGTTGTAGGATAACAGTATGAGGAGCAAGGACTTCTTGAATCATCAAGTAGAGGTGGCATATGCGCCCAACTACAGTTATTTAAAGAGTAATGTAAAGTAGTTCTAGAGTGGACTCGGGATAGACTGCCTGGATCTGAGTGCTGGCTCTGCCACTTATTGACTCTGGAGCCTGAGCAAGGTCTCACCTTTTTTATGCCTCAGTTATACAATATAAATTCTAAAGGTGTAATGTATTGGGGTGATTAAATGAGATAATAAAGAGCTTAGAACAATGTTTAGCACATTTGAGTGTTCAGTAAATATTAATAGTTACTGATACTATTGTTACATTATAAACCAAAGGATTGTGTTAGGCATTTTTTCAGTAAATAAGGTAAATAGTATTCTGGAAATTTTATTCTTAAATAAGCAGAAATCTGTTGTAATTATAGTCATTATTTTACATGGCAGGTATGCAGAGGCCTTGCCAAACAGACAGAATTGAATGACTTTCTTCTGGATGTATCAAAGTAAGTGTTCATTTCTAGGAATGTAGCAGCTCTTATTGAGTGATGCCTTAAATTAATTGCAGGCCATGATAACGTCAGGCTATCTACTGCAGCCGATAACTGAAGATCAATCTTTGATACATGAATAGTCTGGGAAGAATGGATAATCGTATTTTAGACTGTAGAGTTATATACTCATCCATCTTCACTCTATAAGTGAAGGATGGATTTCAGATGTATATGTGGTGATCAGAATTTTTCAACTTGATATGTATTTTCTAAATGGACTCTCTTAGAACATGTTAAAGCCACTAAGTATCTCTATTTTTGCAGGAGAATACTGGCAGCAGTAGGAGGAGAGAAAACGTTCCAGTTTATTTTTTCCAAAAAGTCCTCTTTGGCATTTTCTAACAATGTCAGTAAATTAAACAATATTATTTATGTTATTATATTAATTTTCCTACATATAGTATCTTGTTATCATTTTTGAGAAATGTTCCATTTCTCTAAAGTTTGATCTATAAAAACTCCGTTGGGCTGGCAGTGGAAGAAATGAGAGATATTTATTAAATTCCGGCTTCATATTGGTTTTGCTTGCTATAGGGGAGATTTTCTATATATCTGAGCCATATAATTTTATCATCAAAAACTAAAAAATGCCCCAGGATGTGTTAACTTTTCCTGTTTTCCTACAATTTTCCTGAAGGAATAATGTACCTGTTCTCCTGTGGCCCCCAGCAGCAACTGTGATTTGTGTTCTCTCTCACATATCACCACGGCGGTACTTAACAATGTACCCATCAGCAAGTATTGTAATCTCCATTAGTAATTAGTCACAAGTTTCTAGTTCATGTTACATTTTTTTTTTGAAATACAAAATTAGAGAAGTATGGGACTGAAAAAGATTTCCGTTGGTGACCTAAGCCAGCGAAGGTAAAGCATTGCCTAGCAAGCAGTGCCTATGCTAGGAGCGTGGCTTTACATTTCTTTTTATTCCAGGCCCGTTGTTTGTCTTCTTCCTCGAGTTATGTGTTAATATATGTTCCATATACCCCTAAGACATTTACTTGCCATTCATAGTAATGAATATATATTTTACTCAAATAAAATTATTAGATCCTTATCATTACTTGTATTCTGATATTCTCAAGCAGATTACATTAATTTCTCAATACAGTTAAACTTAATATTAACATTCTAGAATTTTTCAGTGATAATTTAGCATTTTAGCCATATTGATGAGATTTAGCAAATTTAAATATCTTTATTTCAGATCAAAGTTACTAATGAAGATATTAAATATAGTGAACCGAATTTTGTTCCTACACAGTTTTCATTAAATGTAACTAGCTTTCTCTCTTCATTGGTACTTACCAATAAAATAAGGACTGAATGCATCCTCTAGAATTAGAATCCTTATAATAAATCCAATGATAAAGTTTCATTTATCTATTTAAAATAATATTACAGTATTGATTGTTTTCACAAAAGGACAGAAATCAAATGACATATATCTTTGTTTTTTATTTAAATGTAGGCAGAAACCAGGAAATGTATTCAAAGTTTAGTGTGTGCTATGATATAAATAAGATTTCTTACAGGATTTATGTTTTTTTTTTTCCAGAACATATTTTGATAACATAGTTGCAATAGATTCTCTACTTGAACACATAATGGTAGGTTGCATTTTATTCTGAATATAATTTTATTTAATGCTTATACTCATTGTCCTGATATATGGCGTAACACTTTAATTTATTGGACACACAAGATATTTTAAATATTATGAAAACGTGGTGCTTAGGGATTCACCTTGATTTGTTTGTCACTTCTGTTAATTTTGGGGGAGGAGATTTGAATAACATTTTTTAAAATACCCAGTTTTTCTTTGTTTCATGGAGAGCTATATTTTGAAAAGACATTTGGTTTCTTTTTATATTCTTCAAAACACCTTTTACATATAGGCTATATTAGGAATTCTCCACTGATTCTTCCTGATCTTCAAGTTCATTCTACTTAGTTTTATGGTCTTAATTATTCCTCTCTTGTGGATGGATAGCTGGCAAGCACTTTGAGCTGAAAGGCTGTGAAGTAGAGTTACAGCGCATTTCCCCGTGTTACTGCTTTAGGTCTCCAGTGAGGCTCCGCTGAAAAAGTGGCTTTCATTCATCGGAGTGATGCCTGTGTGTAACCCACGGCTGCCTAGGCTTTCTTGGTACCATTAGTGCCCTGCAGTGTACTTTAATAAATGTTCTTTCTCCTTCTCATTTTTTCTGATCTATCTCAAAATATAGTAATCTTCTACACTAAGGGGTTTGCTTCTGCATCTAGAGGTTTTATCGTGCATACTGATCTGTTTTCTCTTTGACATAGAAACAGGCAAGTATGGAGTGTGATTTTTACCCTGTCTTGTAGAGACAAAGTGTACAAAGGGTAATTACAGAGTAGCATTACAGGATATTAACTTCAGTACATTCTTTATGTGAATTGTTATATGTTATTTTGATGTTTTTTTCTGGACAAAACATAGAATGATTGATTATACATTAAAAATAACTTTTCTCTGGTCATGACAAAATTTAAGGAATTTTTAAATCAGTGAATAGTTTTACAAGAATATAAACATATAATGTAGACCGATATTGAGTTTGTATTAGAGATACAAGAAGTACTATTGATTAATATTTGTATTATTATATTTTTAAAAGCAGCTTTATTCAGATATAATTTACATTCTTTTGCATGTAGGTATCAAGTTTTCCTAGCACCATTTGTTGAAATGACCATTCTTTTCCCCTTCAAATGGTTTTATGAAAAATCAGTTGAGCACAAACATGTGGTTTAATTTCTGAACTTTTAATTCTATTCCATCGATCTATCTATATGTCTGCTGTAATGGTAGTATATGCTTTCTTGATTACTGTTGTTGTTTTATAGTAAGTTTTGAAATTAGAAAGTGCGAGTCTTCCAACTTTCTTCTTCTTCAAGATTGTTTTAGCTGTTCTGAGTCCCTTGTAATTCCATATACATTTTAGAATCAGCTTGTCAATTTCCACAAAAAAGTCAAAGAGGACTCTATTAGGGATTGTGTTGAATCTGAAGAGCAATTTGGAGTATTGCCATCTAAACAATGTATGAATATGAGATACTTTTTTCATTTATTTAGATCTTATTTTTTTTCACCAAGGTTTTATGATTTTCAGAGAATAACTATTGGTTTCATTTTGGTCAATTTATCCCCAAGTATTTTATTTTTTAATTCGATTATAAATGGAATTATGTTCTTAATTTTATTTTCTTATTTTTCATTGCAAATGTATTGAAATAAAATTGGCTTTTATTATATTGATAGTGTATCCTGCAGCTTGATGAACTCATTTATTAGTTCCAATAGTTTCTTGGTGTATTGTCTAAGGTTTTCCATATACAGGATCTTGTCATCTGCAATTGGAGGTAGTTTTACTTCATCTTCTCTAATCTGGATATGTTTTATTTCTTTTTTTGGATAATTTCCTTGGCTAGAACCTATAGTACAATATCGAAAAGAAATGGCAAGTGTGGGCATTCTTGTCTTGTTCTTGATCTTAGGGGAGAAGCATCTAGTAATAGTAGTGGTTCTCCTTTTCCAGTTTTTACAGAACTTTCTTCTTTTTGTTTTTTAACGTATTGACTAGGACCTAAGGAACACTGTTGAAATGAAATAGTATATCCAAAAGTGGATACATTTTCCTTACTGTGCCTACTTTTCACATTTCATTGCTGAGTATACTTGTTGTAGGTCCCCAGCAGATACAGTTTAGCAACTTAAAAACTTTTCCTTCTGGTCTTAATATTTTATGAATTTGCATCTGCTTGGGTGTTGAGTGTTAGCAAATTTCTATAAGATATTCTTAAAATGATCCAAGATTTTTCTCCTTTAATCAATTGGAATAAGAAATTATATTAATTTATTATTCAGTGTTGAACTACTCTTACCTTCCTGGTGTAAAGGCTACTTACTTGTAATGTTTTCTTTATTCCTGGATTGGTTGTTAATATTTACTTCCAAGTTTTGCATCTATGTACATAAGTAAATTGGCTCAGTAGTTCTTTCTTTCTATCCTTGGGTAGTATTGGTAATGGGTTATGCTATATTTTAAAATGAGTTAAGAAATGTTCCATTCTTTTCTATGGACTAAAATGCTTTAAATAATATATGAATTATTTGTTTTTTTAATGTTTGATATAAATCAGCTATAAATCACTTGGGCTTTATTAGGGGATAGACTTACAGTGCTGTTAATAAGCAGTTCTGAGTAAAGTAGGTCTTTAATACCATAACATTTGCTTACTTTTAAATTTGATTTGGTAATATTTTTATTTCTAATTTTTCTTCTGTTTCCAAGTGTAAATTGGCTTATGTTTTTCTTTTATGTAGTTTCTTTGACAGTTTTCAGTATCAGTGACATAACAGGGACTATAAAACTAACTTGAAAACTTTTGTTCTTTTCTGAATTTAAAACAGCTTAATTTGTATAGGAATTTACTTGTTGAAGATTTTTAAAGAATTGATAGTTGAAACCAATTGGGCCTGGTTGGTGCCTTTTATCAGAAGACTTTTTTGACAATTTTTGAATTATCTTTATGATTCTGGTTTGATGTATACTTTTCAGCCCTTTCTAAACTCATTTTATTTTCTAGAAAAATGTCCATTTCATAAAGATTTTTAACCATGATTGACATATTTATGCCAAAATATTTATTAAGCAACTAACATGACCCTAGAAACTACAGATTCAAGTTGCACTGAATAGAATTTAATCTTTAGTGTTGCAGGATCATTTTTTTTTTTTTTGAGACAGAGCCTCACCTGTCTCCCCCCCACCACCCCCCCCACCAGGATGGGGCTAGAGTGCCGTGGCATCAGCCTAGCTCATAGCAACCTCAAACTCCTGGACTCAAGCAATCCTCCTGCCTCAGCCTCCCAAGTAGCTGGGACTACAGCCATGCACCATGATGCCTGGCTAATTTTTCTATTTTTAGTACAGACAGGGTCTCATTCTTGCTCAGGCTGGTCTCGGACTCCTGAGCGCAAGAGCTCCTCCCACCTCAGCCTCGCCTCCCAGAGTGCTAGGATTACAGGCGTGAACCACCGTGCCCGGCCTGCAAGATCATTCTTGCTATTTAATAATTCAGGCTCTCCTGAGTTTGTAAAGCAGTTGGATGATTCTTGTGTACTTGCCAACAGCTCAGTCCCGTCAGCCTCCCCTACCTTTGTGCTACTCGTTCTTCCTCAGATATTTCCTGAGAGTTTTAGTTTATGAATATCATATATTTTGTAAGCTAGGAGTTGGCAAACTTTTTTTAGGGGCCAGAGAGTAAAGTTTTATGCTTCATGGGTCATACTTTCTTGCAACTACTCAAGTTGGCTGTGGTAGCAGCCACAGACAATACAGACAAGAATGAAAGGTGGCTTTGTTCCAGTAAAACCTTATTTATAAAAGCAGGTAGTCAACCAACACTTACTCTAAGCCTTGTTCCGGGCATTTGGAATAATCTTGTTTGGTGGGGGGAAGAAGGCAGTATCTGGTGTCATAGAACCCACAAGTCAATGGAAGTGAGAAGTATTCTGGAAGATCTGATACTGGCAATTCTCAGTACATTCGGCCCCTGCACTGTGGGCACAGACAGTGTTTGTTGAGTGAATGAATACAGTTCTGTAGTAGCAGTGAGCATAAGCATGTAGTGGGAGGATGAAGAAGGGTACTTAGTTTATTCAGATTTCTTTTTATTAAATCTGTAAGTTAGTTACACATGAGATTTTATATTTTTCTCCGGCTACAAAGTTCCTCTTGAGTAGACAATGTGATGGTTCTTTTTCCTCTGAGAATTAATTATTTTTCTCTGAGAAATAATTTTATGACTATGATCTGGATGGTTGAAGTTGCTAGAATTCAGAATATAGGTAAATAACAGTATTTATTGCATAACTGTATCCCAGCCCACTAGGAACAGTGGTATATGTTATGCATTGAAGAAATATTTATCGAAGGAAACGGATGAACAAATGAATGCTGAAACGAATGCATGGTGTTCCATTTATTTACAAACGGAAAAGCATATTTGTTATAAAGCATGGGCCATAGAAACAGCTAGTAGGAGTTTAGATACTATTAGTAGATCCACCATTTACCAGCAATGTAATAATGGGACCAGTTAAGTTACCTCTTAGTGCCTCAGCTTTCCTAATATGTAAACTGGAGATCAATTTGTTCCCCTGAATTAATATTGGTATTGTGAGGATTAAGTAGATCAATGCACATAAAGTGTATCAATACATTTAGTGCATAGTAAACACTTAATAATTATGAATTATTATTAGACAGTACAAAAAATAAAATTCAGGTAATGCCAAGTATGAAAACTTTTTTTTTTTTTTTTTTTTTAGCAACTGCTATGTCACAGGCACCAAGCAGTCAGAATTAATGCTGGCCTTCGAGGCTCAGATCAGGGCCCGAGAAAGGGAAGCCTGAGAAATTCTGGAAGAGGGGCTTGGATTGTAGAAGGATTCTTGGGAATTTAGGCCAGTAGCTGCTTACCAACCCATGTAGAAGTATTTTAGTATTAAATATTTCAACCTCCAGCAATTGTATGGGTTCATATCAGCTATTTATTCTTGTTGCTATCTGCTAGAATTAGCATGTCACAGAGACTTTTATACTTGTATATATTTATTTACTTATAATGCCAATTTCTACTCAATTAGAGTATAAAATACCTGAAATTAATATTTATTTCATTATAAATATTTCATTATAAAGTTTACTTGAAAATTCTTTGAATTTTTCATTGGCTTACTCTTGTTTTGTCATTTGTCTTCAGATATATGCAAAAAACCTGGTGAATGCCGATCGTTGTGCACTTTTCCAGGTAGACCACAAGAACAAAGAGTTATATTCAGACCTTTTTGATATTGGAGAGGAAAAGGAAGGAAAACCTGTCTTCAAGAAGACCAAAGAGATAAGGTACAGGTAGAAGTAGACTGTCCTATACTCTGATTACAGATGTGCAGGCGTTCTGTTACCCATTTTTCTGTGCCTATTCACAGGTATGCTGACAATACTTGTCATACTGTGATATCATTCCCACCAGGACCCGCCTCCTGAAGGTAGTACTTCTGGGAATGACATTGCAGTGCCAGCGAAACCGCGCCTAGGAAGCTTTAGCGTCACTCCTGGAAATGCCGTCTTCCGGAGGCGGTCCTTTTGGAAATCATGTTGGAAAAACTTACTAGTGCTCCCAGGTAGGTACAGGTACACTCCACCTGGAGTCTGCAGGTTTTCCCCTGTCTAGGAGCCAAGGTGTACTTAACCAATTTGGCCCCTTCCTCTTGCCAGCCTATGGGGCTGTCTCACAGTCCAGACAATAGTGGAAATTGATCTGGTGCATTTGATGACTTAAACACCTTCTATAACTAACCAGTTGGTTTAATCAGTCACATAGCATGCTCGTTGTATCTTGAAACTAAAACATTCTTTGTTCTGTAAGTGGCAGCTATTGTCACTTAAGTGAACAGAATGGAGTTCCCTTTGTTGATGGAGGCGTGTGGGGGCTTACTCACACCACAGTCTGGAAACCTACGAGGAGCACTGTCACAAAACTTGTAGAAATCAAGCTTAACAGTCAAAGGCTGAAATAGTTTTAGACATTTGCATTCCTTTTCCTTTATATGTCTTAACTAGTTTTCTACATAATTTCATAAAGTTCTCTGGTAATTACAACATTCCAATAAAACATTGTGCCTTATTAATTGGATTGCTGTTTATCCGTCATAAGGTGAAACTAACGTAAGGGAAACTCAAAGTGTGACCCACCACAGGGTCTCACCACTGTTTGCCACTCAGCACTTCCAGTTCTCTGTTTCTATGGTGTTAGATCCTGTATTCCATATTCATATGGCTCTGACTTGTAGGCTCTGACTGTATTGATGTTGGCTTTTTTTTTTTTAAATGGTTGTTTGTTAGATCTCAGTATATCAGCCTATATATAATCATTCTGAAAATTCATTATTTCTCTTGCTGAAGATTTGAACATTCCTTAACACTCCTGGTATTAACTTAGTTTTGAAAATAGTAACTTAAATCCATGATGCCAAGCATAGGAACAACAGGGAAATGTAGTTTGTAACTTGCAGATGTCTGGTTGATGCCAGCCATTTTTACAAGGGCACGCTTCTTAATTATGGGCTTCCACTGACCATAGATAACAAACCAGGAGATTTTGAATAAGAGTTACAGTTTAGACTACTTTTAGACCAAGACAAACAAGCATGAATCATGAAATAGATTCTGATAATCCTTGCTCATGGCAGTCTAATTCATTGTGTTCATGTTCTTCAAGCACAAGAACACCAAAAAGCAGACAACTTTGAGTTTTTTGCAATGTTTGGATCACTCGTTGATGTTTTAAAAACTCTTTTGTGTCACATTTCTTTTGAGTTTTTCTGGTAATCCTTAAGATGAAGCTTTCTTTTTCTTTTTTTTCTTTTTTTTTTTTTTTTTTTTTTTTTTTTTTTTTTTTGAGACAGTCTTGCTGTGTCACCCTGGTAGAGTTCAGTGGCATCATTGTAGCTCACTGTAACCTCAAACTCCTGGGCTCAAGTGATCCTTCTGCCTCAGCTTTTCTTGAATAGCTGGGACTACAGGCATACACCACCATGCCAGGCTAATTTTTAAAATTTTTTTTTCAAATTTTAGTGGAGACAGGGTTTCATATTTGCTCAGGCTGGTCTTGAACTCCTGAGCTCAAGCAATCCTCCTGCCTTGTCCTTCCAGAGTGCTAGGATTACAGGCATGAGCCACCATTCCCAGACTTTATTTCAATTATTATTATTTCCTATAATGTTAAAAATGTAATATTATGGAAATTATTTTTTAACTGTTAACAATTATAGCTATTGTGAATTGTAGACATCTTTCTGAAATAAATTTTGAAATGATTGCTTGTATGATGATAATATAGTAATGAGTAATGATGAAAATATTTATAAATGAGAATATATTTACAAAAGAAAAATACTGATATTAGATATCAAAAATAGATAATGCTTATATTTTGATTGTTTTAAATTTAACAAATTAGAGAAGTAAAAATACTAGAAGTTGTACATTGTGTTATTTCTGTATAGTGTGCATGTCGCAAACATCATGGTTTAGTCGTGTATGATATCTCAAGGTTCAGACATAACCTGTGAATTTGGCTGTATGTGTGATAGAAAGCACAGTGATACAGACCTGCATTCTGGTTTTTATTGTACCACTAATATTTTAGGAATGTTGGCATTTCACTGAACTCATATAGGCCTCAGTTCACACCTCACTGAGAATCTAGTAAGAAAATTTATGCTGAAGTATCTTGTAAATTATAAGGTACTATGCAAATAAGAGGAATTGTTATTGGTCAGTACAGGAGATTACTAATTAATTTTTCAATCTCATTTTGTAACCCAATTTATGATATTGTGAATTATATCTTAAAACGGTGTTTTCAGGTGATTACTATGTAATGTTTTCCTGCTTTACTTTTACATATTTTATAAGATGATTTAGAATATGTAAAAGTAAAATTAATACATATGTTTAAAATAAAACAATGCTTTTTAATTCAATATTTGGTTGCAATGAAATGTTTCAGAATTATTTTACAGCATCTGTATTTTAATTAGCATGTCGCTCTCTTTTACATGTGCAGATTTTCAATTGAGAAAGGAATCGCTGGCCAAGTAGCAAGAACAGGGGAAGTCCTGAATATTCCAGACGCCTACGCTGATCCACGCTTCAACAGGTAGGGAACGGCTTACCTCCTCCGTCCGCGGAGGCCTCTTCCAGGGAGGCCTGATTCTCCATGTCCCAACTCAAATAGTTCTTTCCTCCTTAGTTTTCTTCTTTGGCCCAACCCTATTATCAGCAGTCAGTATATTTAGATGTTTATAAAATGTTGGATTCTAAGCCATTAATGTATAATGATTTTAAAATATTATAAAAATAACTAATAGGCAGGAGTTTTAATTTATAGAGCCATTGTGGGATTTTGTTCATTGTGATGTCATGACTTTGTCCCGAGCATGTTCTCTATCACATGCTCATAGGCTGCAACATGTAGTAGCAAAGTCACACAGCTTTGAGCTTTAAATTGCAGGTCTGTCACTTATTAGCTCTTGAGTGATCTGTAGTAAATTACTTAATGACTCTAAGCCCCAGTTTCCTCATCTTGAACATAGGTTTGATGGTGCCTATTTTGTCTTTTTTTAAGATTACAGATAATATTCATAAAAGGTCTAGAAACTTTACATGACACAAAGTAGGACCTAAGTAATTTGTGGCTTTTGGATGGATATTATTAAAATTGAATATTAGGATGGCTTATAAAGATTTTTTATTTTGTTTTGACTTTTTTTTGAGAACTAGAAACCAAATTATATAATCTGTTTTTAATAAATCTCTAGATATTAAAAGTCTCAAGATTGATGTTATGACTGAGGGAGTAATAGTTCAGATGTTTTAACAACAATGTTTAGTTAATTTAAAAATTTAGTTTAAGAGACAAATAACATAAGCAATAGGAAGTTTTTTCAAGTATATGGTCAATTAATATCAAATATGTACAAGTCATATAAAAACATAGCTATATTCTAATAATATATTCTATTAATAAATTAGGAGTATACTAAAAATCTTTTTTTTCAAAAAACAAATTTTTCATTTCATTGCTTAAATATTAAAAATACTTATATAACCTTATATAAAACCTTTATAATTTATGGGTTAGAATATTAAGAAAATGAAAAGGGAAGCAACAGATTGAGAGAAAATAATTGCAAAATATATATAATATCTGACAAAATATTTGTATCTAGAATTTATAAAATACTTTTCTAACATAATAATGAGATAACCCAATTTAATAAAAAGGGCAGAAGATTTTAACAGACACTTCACAAAACAAGATATATGAATGACCATTAAACACGTGAAAAGATGTTCAATGTGAGAGGAATGTGAATTTAAATGACAGTGAGACTTCACTACACACCGGCTTGAATGGTTGCAGTTTTAAAAGATTGGCATCAGCAAGGATTGGCATGGATGTGGAGAAAATGGTACTCTCGTACTTTGCTGGTGGGAATGTATAATGGTACAACCACTTGGGAAAACAGTTTTGCAATTTCTTAAAAAATTAAACATACACTTACTGTATTGTCCATTAATCAGCTCTACTTCTGGGTATTACCCCAAGAAAAGTGAAAACATATGGCCATACAATGACTTGTATATAAATCTTCAAAGCAGCATCATTCATAATTGCCAACAACTGGCTATTAACAAATGACATTGTCCATTAAATGGTGAATGAATAAACAAAATGTGGTATATTCATTCAATAGCTCTAATTACTCAGCAGTAAAAAGGACTGACCCTCGCTGCATCCACTACATGGTTGAATGTCAAAAACATCATGCTAAATGCCAAATGAGAGAAGCCAGGCACTGAAGACGACCGTATTACTGACGACCATTAGTCACATTACTGTTTCTGTGGAACTTGGTTGTGTTTTCAAAATGAATTTCCTCAAATTAGGAGTCAGTAAACCTTTTCTATTAAAGACCAGATAGCAAATATTTTTGGCTTCACAGACCACAGGTCGTGGTCACAGGTCCTTAGCTCTGCCTTGTGGGGTAATGGCAGCCTCAGACAATCTGTAAATGGATGGTATGGCCGTATTCCGTGAAAGCTTTATTTGTTAAACCGGAGCAGGCTGGTTTGGCCCATAGGGTGTAGTTTGCAAACCCCCTGCTCTAAATTTTTAAGGTTATAACTCCCATTTAAGTTGGTTTAGCAAGTTATATCTCTCATGAATATAACCAACTTCAAAGGAACATACCATTTTACCAAATATATTTGTCTTCTGAATTCACACTGTTTGTCTGTTTGCTTAATAATGCTGGATACTTAAAACCAGATGATAAGTTGAAAGCCTCCCAGAGACTATCCTAGAAACTCTTATAAACAAAAGAACAAATTGGTTAGAATGTTTTACCTTATGCCTGGATTTAGAAGCTAATGGTGCCATTACAGTCACATGTAATAGAAGCATATAAATTGCAAAACTGAGTTGAGATTTATGATTGAATGTGTCATTTATTTTCTTCTGCCTGCTTTGTGCTTTATTGTTTGGTTCTTCACCTTCCCACAGAGAAGTAGACTTGTACACAGGCTATACCACCCGGAATATCCTGTGCATGCCCATCGTGAGCCGAGGAAGCGTGATAGGTGTGGTGCAGATGGTGAACAAAATCAGTGGCAGTGCCTTCTCTAAAACAGATGAAAACAACTTCAAAATGTTTGCTGTCTTTTGTGCGTTAGCCTTACACTGTGCTAATGTAAGTACAGTTTTCTAAATAACTTTTTTGTTTACTACTCAATATTAATTTAAAACCTTTTAGTTAAAGTAGCTTAAGTGTTTTTTTTCCATTTATATATTTTTTACAAACCAGGAACTGATTCCTAGTTGTACATATTTTGTACATTAAGGATATCCTTAAAATGCCTTGGAATAAAAAACAACTACTTATATTTTGTATTCATTTCAAGGTGTGAATTTGTTAAAAAGAAAAATGAAATTAATGTAAGAGTAAAATGCTCAATTATCAGGCTTATGTTTCACAATATCCACTGAACTAAATAAGGAAAATGTTATCTAAATCCTTACTCTTTATCATATGTGCTGTATTTGAGATTTTTACACAGAAAAGATAGTAACAGCTCATATTTTCACACTGACTGGGAAAGTTTTGATTGTGAAGAAGAGTGAGGCACCGTTGAGTGCATGTGTGAGACACCTTATGGGTGTTAACTCACCCAGTCCTAGTAACAGTCCTGCCCTGTTCACTGAAGAATTAAATGAACTTCAATTTGTATTTTGAAGTCTCACTTTGAAATACAAGAATTTATGATCTTCCTTTAAAATTGTCATATTTTTCTATAAACTCTACTGATTTTTTAATGACATTACTAGAATTCTGAAATTATGGAAAATTTTAGTCCGGTAACCTTTTTATAAAGCTAAACCAACATAAATGGGAGTTACCACCTTAAGAGAAATTGCTTTTCAGAAATAGGACTGAGTTCCTTAGAAGCAACCATATAACTGATAGAAACAGTCAAGAAACGACTAGGAATAAAAATTGCAAAAAATTACATTCTGGTGACTAAGGGTTAAGCAACTTTAATTCCCTTAGTGCTATTTAGTAACAGGACCCATCCTCTCTCCTCCCATTGGCATCATGCCCTCCTGTGGGACTCGTGCTGTTACTCAGCTCATCAGAAATAAACTAGCGCAGCTGTTAAACACTTTTGCTTTGAACATTTTCTGTATCTATGTATTTTTTATAGATAAAGATGTTAACAGCTATGCTTATCTCATTTGATTCAAAAGTTGCAAAGAGTGTAATTTCTGGTATATTCTGAATATTCACCATTTTGTCATTTTTAAATGGAGCCCATGGAATCTAAGTGCTATAGAAACTTGGTACCTGTCATAGGCCGTTAAAAATACAATAACATGATCCTTGGATTGGAAAATTTAGTGGTGGTCTTTGTTCTCACTGAACGTGTATTTCTGTGATCCTACTAATTCTTCTTTAATGTAATATATTTTGTGCTTTAAAGCATTTTGTTAATTATCTTAACCTAATATTCTAAAACAAACGTGTATAATAAGTGTTAAAAATTAATTTTGGACTGTAGTGATATTATATATTAGTAGTAGTATATATGTGATCAAAACAACATATTATAAAATTTTGATAAATATCAAAAGTGAAAATGTTATTGAAAGTTATTTTTTATGAGGTAGCTGTGGCTTAAAACATTTGTTAATATACCTGTTCATGATTTTGCTTTTAGTTAGAATGAAACAAGTTTTAGCATAAATTTTATACTTTTTATTTTGAAATAATTTCAGACAAAATACAAACTGGTAAAATAATATAAAGAATTCCCTTATATCTTTATCCATATTCCCCAAACACTAACATATTTACCATTTTTGCTTTGACATACTCTTTCTCCCTGTTTCTTTCTTTCTTACATAGATATTATCTTTTTCTGATCTATTCGAGAGTATGTTTCCGACATTGTATCTCATAACTCCTGAAATGTTCAGTTTATATTTTCTAAAAACAAGCACATCATCTTATTTTTCCACTGCATAATTTAAAAAATCCAGAAATTAACATTGGTACTGTATTGGTTTTCTAGGGCTGTTGTAATAAACACCACAGACTGGGTGGCTTAAATAACATAAAATTATTTTCTCACTATTCTGGAGGCTGGACGTCCAAGGTCAGGGTGTCTACGCTTTCCTCGAGGCCTCTCTGGCTTGGATTTTCCTGTGTCCGTGTCCTAATCTCCTTTTCTTATAAAGGCCCAAGTCATATTTGAGCTAGGGCTCACACATGAGACCTCATTTGACCTTAGGTACCTCTTTACAAGCCTGGTCTCTAGCTACAGTCACATTCTGAGGTTCTGAGGGTTAAGGCTTCAACGTGTGAATTTTGTGGGGACACAGTCTGGCCCCTCACAGGTACTGTGCTGTCATTTAACCTTCAGACCTCTTTAGTCCCCTTTAATCTCATTCATTAGTCTTTCTTTGTCTTTCACGACCTGGTGTTTTCGAAGCACATATCTCTGTTATTTTGTAGAATATTTATTAATTAGGAGTTGTGTGATGTTTCCTCATGACTATCTCAAGATTATAATTTTGACGTGAGCTCACAGAATGGCGTGGTCACAGTGCACCCTGTTAGTGGACAGGTGTTCCACCGCTGGTGACGTTAACTTTCTTCACTTTGACGGTGGCGTCTGCAGGTTTCTCTAGAAAATTTTCCCCCATTTTTCTTGCTAATTTATTTGGAAGAGTATTTATACATTAACCTCTAGATGCACTCATTCATTCTCATTCTCTCTCTTTCTCTCTCTCTTCCCCCCTCTCTCCCTCCCCACCTCCGCTACTGACACCTCCAGTCCAACACTACATGGTGCCTTCTAGCTGCCTCTTTTCCACCTTTGAAACTGTTTTTGTGACTGAGAAATTTGACTCCCACCATTCAGAATCTATGTGATTCCAACTTATCCCTTTTATTTTTAAGGAGGCTGTAAAAATTGCTTCCATTAATAAATAGACTGGAGCAGAAAAGGTTTTATTAGAGCGATTTCTATGAATTCCACCTGAGCTAAGATGCCAAAAAGTATGGATAGTTCTGTTCACCAAAAATTATTTTAGTAATCTATCATTGGAAATTTATTTAGGTCCACCTTCAATATTTTATTAAAATTTTGAAAACTATTATTAGACCTCATCATCAGCAATATTTTGTATTGCCTCTTTAAGAGATATTTCTATTACATCAATTTGAGAGCAGGGCTATTTTGAAATGGGACATGGGGAAAAGTCATTTTTAGGTAGGGATATGTGTGAAAGTAAGACTATGAAAATTTGTCATCTTAAGATCTATCCATTTGTTCATGTATCCCTTGAAAAATTGCTGTGTATTTCTAAAAATACATTTCAGTTTAAATGTAACTGAGTTATTTGAGGAACTAGACCAGTGGGTTCAAAAACTTTACTAATCTAATTGTTCTATCATAAAATCTGGATTCAATCATGATTAAAATCAAGACAAAAAAAATACTGCTTCTGAAAAATCATGAATAAGTTAACAGGCATTCCATTTTATATTGATTATTTAAATAATTTATTTAGGCTAAACTTTTAGTAAAATTACTGGAATTAGTTTATATTGCAAATGATTGTAACTTTCTAAACACTTGGAATCTCACCACAAGGGTAGCTATTCTCCAGCAGTGACAAGTAGTGTGTGCACCAGCAGCCATGTTAAGTCATCCCTGTCACTGGGTCTAGGAGGGCAGCCATCCCCAACCTTTTGGGCACCAGGGACCTGTTTCATAGAAGACAGTTTTTCCATGGAGGTGGGGAAGGGAGGGACAGAGCTCAGGGAGGTGGAGCCTAAATATTGATGCAAGTGATGGGGTGCGCCTGTAAATACAGATGAAGCTTCCCTTGCTCGCAGCTCACCTCCTGCTGCAAGAAGTGGTCCAAAGCCTGGAAGAAGAGGTAGTTGGTTGGTGCAAGGTCTGGTGAATATGGTGGATGACAGAGTTTCCAAGCCCAGCATCTGTAGTTTGAGCAGTGGTGTTTGTGCAGCCTGTGGTCTTGTTAGAGGATTGGCCTGTCTCTGTTGACCAATCTGAGCTGCTTAATCACAGGCATCCTCATCATTTCATCCAATTGGTTGTAGTAGACATTCCTTGTCATCGACTGACCACTTCTCATGAAGCTGTAGTGGATATTACCAGTACTGGATCACCAGACAGTCGCCATTAGCTTTTTTGATGACTATTTGGTTTCTGACTCTGTTTCAGCTCTTCATCTTTATCCAACCATTGTGCCCAACACTTGCGATTATTAAAAAGAACCCAATTTTCATCACGCATAACAATATGGTGCAGAAATAGCTTGCCTTTATGTCAGGAGAGCAAAGACAGGCAAGCTCCAAGACGATTTCTCTGCTGACGCTCATTTATTTAATTCATGCAGTACCCATCTATCCAGCTGGTTTACCTGGCAGATTTGTTTGAAATGGTTTAATATTGTTGCAATAGTAATGTAAAACCTTGCTCTTAATTCATGCCTAGGTTGAAATGGAGTCACTTCCACTGCAGCTTTCAGCTCATCATTACCCACCTTGGTCTCAGATTGCCCACATGGCTCATTTTCAAGATTAATATCACCAGAATGGAACCTCTCAAGCCATTGATGTACTGTGCATTCATTAACCACATCCTTCCGAAATACTTCATTGATATTTCAAGCTGTCTGCAGTGCATTGGTTCCACAACAGAACTCATATTCGAAAATAACACGAATTTTTTACTTATCCATGGCTTCACAAAAGTTGCTCCAAAAAAAAAAAAAATCTGAACGATAGTCACAAGCCAAAACATGCCTTTGAAAGACTGAGGATGTACATTCACAATAAAAATAAAACAAGAAGTGTCATACTAAAATGTCAGAGATATCAACGGTCAAACTTAGTGCTTAGGAAATCAGATATTTCATACTTTTTAACCTAATAGCTATCTGGGTATCCTCCAACCCAGTCAAATTGACACATAAAACTAACCATCACAGAGGATGTGGTCAATTTGGGCAGAAATGGGGGAAAATTTCAGAGAAACTTTCATAGATAAACTAATATAGATGATAAAGATAGGATTAGTAGAAATAACAGATTTATATAATAGTTTTATAGAAAGTTTAACATTTGTGATATATTTCAAAAGGGAATTATGTAAGTTA